TGTGTGTGTGTGTGTGTGTGTGTGTGTGTGTGTGTGTGATTCTCTGTTCTGTTCATTGATCTCTGTATCTATTCCTGCACTGGTGCCAGACTATCTTGATTACTGTAGCCATATAGTACCTCTAAACATATGTACAGTGATTCCTCCCATTTTATTTTTGTTAGAATTGTGTTAGATTTCCAGCTACTTTGTCTTTCCATACAAATTCAGAACTTACCTATGTGTACATAATAGCAGAGACTTCGTAAGATGTGCCTCAAACCCATAGATACATCTGGGAGAAATTTGTGTCTTTACTAAGTCATGTCTCTCAATTCATGAACACACTATATGTTTATTTAGGTTTTCTTTTATTTTTTTCACCAACGTGTAGCTCTTAGCACTGGAAAAACATACATTTTTATAAAAATGTATACCTAAAGTATCTCACCTTCTTTGAGTAGTTAAAATTATTATTGTGCTTTAATGGGTTTTGACATGTTCTTGTTATTATATAGAAATGTGGTTGGTTTTTGTGTTGATCTCATTTCCTGCAACCTAGCTTAGTTCATTTATTAGATGCAGAGTTGTTCTTTTTTATATTCCTCAAGATTTTCTACATTGACATTATGTCACTTGAAATAGGGGCACTCCTACTTTTATCCTATTTTTATCTTTCTATTCTGAATGTCTTTTATTTCTTTGTTTTGCTTATTGCACTAGCTAGGTTTTCTAGTCCAATGTTGAATAAGAGTGGTTAGAGTGGGTATTCCTGTCTTGTTCCTGATGCTAGGGGGAAGCATTAGGAACTAGTAAGTGTCCTTTTTTTTTTTTTTGGCTTAAAGAACTCCCTTTAGCAGGCTTAGTGGTTATGAATTATTTCCACTTTTGATTGTCTGGAAATGTTTTATCTCTCGTTTCTGAAGGTCTTCTTTTCTGGGTAAAGTATTCTTGAATAAATCACCCACTCTCTTCTGGCTTTCAAGACTTCTGCTGAGGAATCACCTGATAGACTCAGGGGTGTCCTCCTTGTATATGATGAGCTCCTTTTCTCTTACTCCTTTCAAGATTTTTCTTTGTCTTTCATTTTTGGCAATTATATTATAATGTGTCTTGGTGAAGTCTTTTTTGGATTCAATCTTACTGGGGACTTTTAAGCTCATGTCCCAAGATTTCCATATATTTCCCTAGGTTTGGGAACTTTTCAGCCATTGTTTCTTTAAGTAAGCAGTCTTCCCACTTTTTCTTTCTCCTACTGGGTCTCCTGTATATGAATATTGTTTCATTTGATGGTATCCTATAAGTCCTGTTGGCATTTTTTTCCAGCCCTTTTCATTTTTTTCCCCAGTATGACTGGATAATTGAAAATAATCCATGAGAGCATGATGGGTTCAGGCAGTTGGGGGCCACAACATCAGCAACTGCATGATCCTTGGCAAGAGCAGTGGAAGGTTCTTGTGGCAACAGTGTCTGTTGGGATCTTCAGTAGCACCACCAGATCCAGCACCAGGGGACAAGCAGAATGGTGGCCAGAATTGGTGCTATGTACACAGTCATCGGAGGGGGTGCTGAAAACAGGCACATGCCCAAAACGGGGTTGGGGCCACCAGTGGGGTCCATCACCAACTTTGAGCACACAGGTGGTTTCAGGGGCTAGCCACTGGTGTGTGCATGACAGTGAGGGCTTGTGACTAGAGTCCATGCTGGCCGTGTATATGTGTATAGCTTCAGGATTTAGCTGTGGACCCTTGTGGTAGTGTAGTCCAGTGACAGGAGTCAGGACTGGCCTCAGGCACCTCAGTCATTCATCATTGAGGTGATGTTAGCTGTAGGGTTATTAGATACTCTTTATGAAGTTGAGGAAGATGTCATCTATTCCTAGTTTGTAAGTTTTTAATATGAATGGGTGGTAGAGATATCTGTATTAAAACAAAATACAGTTTTGGAAGATGGAAGAAAGATTCGAGTTTGTTGGCTGACAGGTCAGTCCCAAACTGAGAAAGAATTATCTCTCTCTTTTTCCTTCTGTCCCTTTGGGGAAATACAGGGGGAATAGATATCCACATAACTGCATCATTTCTTCAGAATAGCAATTAGATTCATAACCTTTTTAGTGTTAGCTATGGTATTTTTTTTAATCACCATAACAAGACATCTGTTTTGTGAGTTGCTCCTGCTGCAGACATATGCAAAGACAGAACTGGTCTGAGGCAACATGCAGCTTGCCAGGGCTATCTGGCTATATCTACCAATCCAATTATACTCTGCATAGGGTAGAACTAGGGGTTAATACTGTGTATTATCCTGGAGGAGTATTCCCTACCAGATTTCCCCAAACACATTTACATTAAAAAGGAGATTGGGATATAAAGGCTGGAAAGCACATCAAGTGGCTGGATGTGTTTTTCAGCTTCTCAGAAGGGTAGGCATTTGGTGTAAATATCTGTTGAACATCTGACATAGGGCCTGCTACTCAGTAGATAATCACTAAATAATTGTTGAATAATTTGTATCCATTTGACAAATTTTCCACAACCTGAGACCTTCAAAACTTATATAAGGCAAAATGTCTTTTGCTTTGACGCTAGTCTCTTGGTCCAGTGGGACTTATGAAAAGTGCCATTTCTCTGTCTGAGGATGAACAATGGAAGAGAATACGAACAGTGCTGTCTCCAACCTTCACCAGTGGGAAGCTCAAGGAGGTAAGAAAGGGAGGGTTTTCAATTAGAAAGTTAAGGAATACATCCGTGGGCAGGTAGGAAATAAGATCACAGTCCATTTCTTAGGGGTAGTTTGCTGAATTTGGGCTTCCTAAAAATGGTCTTTTAGCTTCATGTCCTGGAAGAGACATGATAAGATTTGTTATTAGATGTCCCTACTGCTTCATGCTTATGAAAGCTGTGTAATTTTAGGACTTGATTCTTGGATTTAAGTCAGGTGGTGTTGTATTTGTGTGTAGATGTTCCCCATCATTGGCCAGTATGGAGATGTGTTGGTGAGGAACCTGAGGAAGGAGGCAGTGAAAGGCAATCCTGTCACCTTGAAAGAGTAAGTAGAGCTGCACCTGCTGGGCTTCTGGCTCTGTCATGACACTTTCCAGCTACTGACACAGAACCAAACTCCCACTGTTGAGTTAGTCCAGTGAATAAACAGAAGTAGGCATATGGTGCTACAAGTCCAGTGGGCCACCCAAGAGGAGGTAGCACCCCTCAAAAGGCAGGGCAGTCAGGAGAAAGGGTCTTCTTTTGTGTACGTGAGGCGGGATTAATTTATCTACTTGATTGTCCCCTTGGATATTCTAGAAGGCAAAATACATCGTTTCAAAAGAAGAAACATAATTTATCAAATCGTTGAGTGTAGAGGATATGGAATGGTGGGAGGGGAAGGCACTTTGTACATATTGGTGGGCATTGAGTGGGGCAGGGAAGTTATCATGTGGAACTTAGAACAACTTAAACCCCTTCCTGATTTTGTTAAGGATATTAGTAAAAAAAATATTAACTTTATGACCACTTGTCCATCCTTCAACCTTAGCAGAGAGAAAGCCCTGCTCATGGGATAAGGAGGGTGACTATATAATCTAAACTGTGATATTTTAAAATTATACACTATGAACAGATGTACATAGGAACTGTTCTAGAAAAACTGGTGGCATATCACTTAGCTATGGCAACCCACAAATCAATTTTGTAGTGATTTACTATATATTTTTTAACTAGGAACATTATTAGATCTTACATTTTCCAGATATGAGTGTGTCCTGTGGGAAAGCTCTGATCACTGGAATTGAGGAAGAAGGGTCTTTCAGGAGTCTTAGCAGGAGTGTAGAGAAGAAGGGATAACATTCCTTTCAGCACATAACATGGTGTTGCCATTCACTAATGTGCTGAAGAGGAATCAGTTCTGAACATAGATACTGTGGTGAGACAAGGTCCGGATCAATTTTACCTTTCTTGACTCTTCTAGGAAAGGTTAATTATTCAACTGTTTGTCTTGCTCAGACACAGTGTTTATCTACCTTCTATTGCCCATACTCCAAACACACTACTGTAATTTATTTGACTTTGGGTCTCTGTTCCTTCAGGACAGAGCTCCTTGAGTTCAGACGTGTGTCTAACTTGTCATAGTGTCCCCATCACCCCTAGCACAAGGCCAGCAGTATCACTAGCATGATGCCTCTGCTGAATTCCTCATGGATACCTCATGAATGAGTGTGATGGCATATAGACTCTTCAGATTATCCAGAAGGTGGTTCTGAAAATGTGGCTCTTACGTGGCCTGGGCATCAGAATCTAACGCTGCATGTGTTGGATAGGGATAGTAAAGAGTTTCTGATTTTAATTATCCATGTCTTTCTTTCCCTACTCAGCATCTTTGGGGCCTACAGCATGGATGTGATTACTGGTACCTCCTTTGGAGTGAACATTGATTCCCTCAACAACCCACAAGATCCCTTTGTGGAAAATACGAAGAATCTCTTAAAATTTTCCTTCCTTGATCCACTTTTCTTCTCAATATGTATGTAGATTACTATTTTTCTCCTCCCTTGCTTTTCTCCTTTTCTTCCTCCCTCCCTTCCTCCCTTCCTCCCTTTCTACAACAATTTTATTGAGCTATAACTTCACATAACATATAGGTCCTCTTTTAAAATGTACAATTCACAATTTGGCTATTGAGATAGTGCTGCTATAAACATTGGGGTGCATGTGCCCTTTCAAATCAGCATTTTTGTATCCTTTGGATAAATACCTAGTCAGGCAATTGTAGGGTCATAGGGTAGTTTTATTTTTAAATTTTTGAGGAACCTCCATACTGTTCTCCAGAGTGACTGAACAAGTTTGCATCCCCACCAGCAATGCAAAAGAGATCCTCTCTCTGCATTCTCGCCAACATCTGTTGTTGCCTGAGTTGTTCATGTTAGCCATTCTGACAGGTGTGAGGTCATATCTCATTGTGGTTTTGATGTGTATTTCCCTGATGACAAGTGATGTTGAGCATTTTTTCATGTGTTGGTTGGTCATCTGGATGTCTTCTTTGGAGAAGTGTCTATTCATGTCTTTTGCCCATTTCTTCACTGGGCTATTTGTTTTTTGGGTGTTGACTTTGATAAGTTCTTTATAGATTTTGGATACTAACCCTTTATCTGATATGTCATTTGCAAATATCTTCTCCCATTACGTTGGTTGCCTTTTAGGTTTGCTGATTGTTTCCTTTGCTGTGCAGAGGCTTTTTATTTTGATGAAGTCCCAATAGTTCATTTTTGCTTTTGTTTCCCTTGCCTCCGGAGACGTGTTGAGTAAGAAGTTGCTGCAGCCAAGGTCAAAGAAGTTTTTGCCTGATTTTTGCTCAATGATTTTGATGACTTCCTGTCTTACATTGAGGTCTTTCACCCATTTTGAGTTTATTTTTTGTGTATGGTGTAAGAAAGTGGTTCAGGTTCATTCTTCTGCATGTCACTGTCCAGTTTTCCCCAGCACCACTTGCTAAAGAGACTGTCTTTATTCCATTGGATATTCTTTCCTGCTTTGTCAAAGATTAGTTGGCCATACGTTTATGGGTCCATTTCTGGAGTTTCTATTCTGTTCCATTGATCTGAGTGTCTGTTTTTGTGCCAGTACCATACTGTCTTGATGATTATACCTTTGTAATACAGCTTGAAGTCTGGGATTGTGATGCCTCCTGCTTTGGTTTTCTTCTTAAAGATTGCTTTGGATATTTGGAGTCTTTTCTGGTTCCATACAAATTTTAGGATTGTTTGTTTTAACTCTGTGAAGAATCCTGGTGTCATTTTGATAGGGATTGCATTGAACATGTAGATTGCTTTGGGAAGTATTGACATTTTAACAATATTTGTTCTTCCTATCCAGGAGCATGGAATATTTTTCCACTTTTTTGTGACTTCTTCAATTTCTTTCATAAGCTTTCTATAGTTTTCAGTGTGTGATTTTTCATCTTTTTTGCTTAGGTTTATTCTTAGGTATTTTATGGTTTTTGGTGCAATTATAAATGGGATCAATTCCTTGATTTCTCTTTCTGTTGCTTCATTGTTGGTGTATAGGAATGCAACCGATTTCTGTGCATTGATCTTATATTGTACAACTTTGCTGAATTTATGG